TTTTTTTTTCTGTGGTGAAAGGTGACAGAAAAAGAGTCATACATTCAGGGCTGCGCTTTCCACGACGGCTTCTCTCCGGCCGTCGGCGTTTTTGGAACAGACGGCCTTAATGTTGATGATAACATCATCCACCACACTGTCGGAGAAGGTAAACACTGTGCTGTCCGTGGCTCTGTTTTTGTATCTCATGAAGGCAAAATGGTTATAAATTTGATTTCAATTTCTCTTCTTCTGTGTTTCTTTTTGTGTTTTCAGGCATCAGAATTTGGGGAAATAAGGTGAAACTGAGGAGGAACTTGGTGATGATGACACTGTGGCCTGGATCGTACCAAGACAGAGAGGAGCCTTTCAACTTTAACTGGAATGCTGCCATTGAGGTTTGTTTTCTAGGAATATCCAAGGAATAGGAATATATATCAACCACTTAAACGTAAGTCGTGTTTGCTTATAATAATCATCTGGTCTCTTCACATATGTCAGGTTAGCGAGGGGACAAACATCGTGCTGCAGCACAACATTGTGGCGGGTTATGAGAGAGTGGCGTATCGCATTGATGGCGAACCATGCCCAGGTGACATAGATGACTTTAATCAATAGTGACAGGCTATATGTCCGGTGCTGGTGCAAATTTCTTCCTCTTCCAGAACAGTAAATTACAGAACTTCTGCTTGTGCAGGTTATATAAATGATAATGAGGCTTGGATTCATAACGAGGCTCACGGCGGTCTGTTCGGGGTCTATCTGAACAATGACGGTTTGCCTGGTTGCTCCCACATCCAGGGTTTCTTTGTCTGGAGGAGCTTTGACTACGGCATCTACTTCCAGGTATTAAAAAACCAAGTCTCTGCTTCCTACACTTGAATAATCAGCCAGGTTCACCCAAAACAGGGCAAATAACCTGAGGGTAACAAAAGGAAAGAAAAAATCTGGGCATTTAATGAGAAGAAAAACAGGCTATGTTGGATCATGCATGTAGATTTGGTCATATTTTACTGCATCAATAGGTTTTTGCCATAATTTACACAACGCTCCAGTTGCCTTTCCAGAAAGCAGCTTTAGCATTAGAAGTATAAGCTGACAAAAGCCTGTTTGAGGAATTTGTTCAAGCAATATGTAACAAACCTTATATGTGTTCACTTTAAAAGGGTCCATGCTTTGTCTGAAAATAAAGATATAGTAGATACAATGATACCCTTTTCTCTTCCTCTCCCTGTCACAGACCATCATGAATGTCATGGTTTCCAACGTGACCCTGGTGGACAACGGCATGGGAATCATGCCTATGATCTATGGTCCCCCTTCTCTCTCCCATGGATTTGCCAATAAAACAGTGCTAATTCAGGTGAGATGCTTTATTTTGATTAACTGATTGTTGTTCTTCTGTGGGAGCTTTGTCTTTGCCAAAGGATTTAACTCAAATCCCTGTTTC